ATTTGTCCTCCCAAAGGCCAATTTCAGACAAGTAGGTTTGAAAACAAAAAAAACAAAGCATCTGACCAACAACAGCCAAACTGAATTATTCAAAACAGAATTTAAACTGGGGAATAATAACACCGATACTGTAAATGGGCACAACATTTTAAACCTTTATTCACATCAAACCAAGCAATCAACATTTCTCCTAACCGCCCCATCAAAAGCACCATTACCAACAACAATACTGGTTTGGGTGATAAACATGACCAGAGACCAAAGTCTAGCTTGAACCGTGATGTTCATGTCTGAAGTGAGGAGCAGCGAGGAGAGGGCACAGGAAGGAGTGTGAGGATGAAGGAGGTCTGACAGGAGAAGATCAGTGAGAACTTTGAAGATAAGAAGCAAAATCTAGTATTGGATACGTCGAGGAATCAGGAGCCAATGAAGGTGGATGACACTGGATGTAACCTGCTGCAGAGTTCTACGATTTGGAGGATTTTTTGGGAGAGCAGAGAGAATGGCACTACAATAATCCAAACACAAGGTGAGAGCATGAACCAGGATCGAGTGCTGTGTTGACGAAGAAAAGGGCAAAGTCTAGAAATCGAATCTGCGGCGCTACCGATTCTGATGAGGGTGGTGAAGAAAAGAGCATTGCCCGAGATGACTCCAAGACTTTTGACACAAGTGCAGAGCTAACAACCGGTTCCACAACGGGCCGCATAATTTTTTAACGTCTGACTTGTTTAAATGAAATTTTCAGTCGGCTACTTTCACGAGAGGAGCTTCTTCTGTCAGTCGCCTGAATCACACACCAGAGTCAGGTGGAATGACCTGTATTTTTTGAGGCATCTCAGGATGATCACATAGACAGTGTATAAGATGGATGTAGCCACGGTGACGTCACCCACGGGTTCCTGATGCGCGTTAGTCTCAAGACTCAACGTTTTCACCACCTCGACGTTTTAAAGATGGACTGGTGCACGCTCATTAATGAGCATTTCCTGCTGAATCCTCCTGTCTGACTCTCAGGATGACTTTGCAGAGTCTGGACTTAATATTTCATTCAAAGTGACGTCAAGCGTTAGTCTGAGCCCATGAAGTCATCAGGAGCGTGTTTACCAAGTTCACTGTGAAAGGAGCTGCTTCTGGGAGCCCACTCTGGTACGTCGTGTGGAATCATGAGCACTACTTTGAATTGGCTCCGGCAGCCACATCAGAGCTGGCATGCAAAGCAGCCGCGCTGGGCGTATTCCCGAGGTAAAACAGGCTAAACACAGAAAAGACTAAATGCCGACAATGTGAGGTTAATGTGAGAAATTAACCTTCGAATTCAAAGCAGCGAGTAACAGACAACGCTACATTTTGCTACCATCATCATATTTTAGTTACATGTTCAGATTTACATAATTAACAGCAAAGAACAGGGCTGTGGACGTGTTGATGAAGAACAGTGATACACACGTGTTCATCAGCACATCTCACTTAAACACTGAGCGGCCATGTGGGTGAAACAGTCAAGTTTAAAGCGAACGGTTCTCCGTCCTGGGAAACAAACTCAATTTTGAAACTGAGTTAGCGTGCTGAGGATCAGTCGCATGTACAGACAATCACGAGTCTGCACAGCAGCTTAAAACGGACCAAAAATAATGAAAGAAACATCAGCAGCAGCTTTCAGTAACCTGTTATTAGTCGAGCCGGCTCCTTTTCCAGGCCTGCTCCTGCCGGCCTGCCCACACAGTCGCTTCTCCTCCTCTGTTTGTCACAGAGAATCTGAAGCAACACTAACGTTTCTCTGCAGAGTATTTTAATGCCCTCGCAGGGTCAAGCACTCTGCTGCAAGCCACGTTCATTCAGTCCGCAAAGTGAGGCTGCTGCATTATGTGAGAGACGCCTGCTCCTTGTTCAGTGTGTGTGTTGTGTGTGCAGGTGGTGGAGGTAAATGGCCTGGCTAAGCCTTCACTGAGACAGTGCGGGAAGCCTTTTGCGTTGTTCCCTAACTGGGTTAGTTTATCTTATTTAGCGGTGGGGCGAGAAAAGGCCGCAGCTGTTCATTCGCGTTGCCAGCCTCAACAGATTGGATTCCTGCAGTTCGAGATCGCCTTTCCAAAGCTGGGCGACGGATGAGCACGGCTCTCTTCCTGCTAGCCGCCACACTGATGCCGTAAATCATCCCGAGTCAGCTGCCTGGCTCGTGGGATGGGGTAATCTCTCCTCCTCAGGCTCCTTATAAAAAGTGACTTGTTATCCGTTTGGCCTGAGGGGCGTTTAGAGGACCTTCAGATCTGGAAAACAGCCCACAGGGAACAGGAAGAGCTACAACCTGAGTCCAGCAGCATCAGGGAATGAAGGCAGACACCGACAATAGGAGCTTGCATCTAACGTCTTTTACATGACAAACGTCTGTATCATATCCACAGCTGCTGAAGACTGTCACAAAAAAGAAATGGCTGTGAGCAAGCATTAAAAACCTCAAAGTATGACCGCATCCCTGATTTCACACAACGACCAGTTTAAAAAAACCACTACAATGAAATACCACCAGATATAAAGATGTGTTTTATGACGAGACTGAAAACCAGACAGTGGTGGGTACACGCTGTCTGCACCAAGCGGATGATAATATGGTCCTACTGGTGTTTAAGCAGGTGACCGTAACAAAGGTGTCGCCTCAAATCTGCGAGGAGTTGAGAATCGGAAAATATTGGAATGGAAAAACAAAATGAAGCCACCTGGACGAGCTTCTGCTGCTAAAAGCAACACAAGAGGAAGAAACAGCACCTGTCCAGTGATGACCTCTGAGAAAGCACCATGTGACAGTGAGAAGAAAAAGGAACCCATTTCAACAGGAATGAACCAATAACAGGACGAGTCTCTGCGAGGATGGCGAGCCACTCATCAGCTGTGAAGATGAGCGGGAAAGAAGGAGCCAAGAAAAGCACGTTGAAGCCTTCACTTCAGTTTGAATGCGTGCAGCGACCCTCCGCTGGGGGAACGTGGGTCTTTACAAACCTAAACTGATGATTTGTGCTCTGCTGTGCTGAAACAGGAACTCCGAAGCTGGCCTGAAATGTTATTGTGAGCTGCAGCGTTTCAAATTTCCCTTCAGCGGAACGAAGATATCTTTTATCTATTAAACATAAACATAAGGGATATGCTGAGCTTCTCTCTGTTGCAGAGTGAGCTGAACGAATGTATTTGTCGAGTTTTGTCAGACACAAATGTTTGTCATGTTTCCTACAAACAACAGCTCGATATTGTCTCAACATGGCTGATTCATCGGTCTGCAGGCGCGTCTGCGGAGGTTTGACAACCTGATATTTTGTCTCTTTTCATAATGATTTCACCTTCCTCTCCTCTGAACAGAGATGTTTGCATGAGCCCCCTGAGAGCAGCCATCATGTCAGGACTGTAGCTCGCTGACAGCTTGATGTCTGATATTTAATTAAAGGCCAACATTAATTCCAGCCCCATCCCCACCTGTTTGCAGCTCCTGCCCCTGACCTCCAATCAGACAAACTGATGTTCCTTGACCACAGCTTTCCTTCCCAGGCAGCTGTTTTCACTGATTTTGTGCACATTCAACCAAAGAGGAAGGAGGGCGGGGCTAATTAGAGACGCCAGCTGCTGCTGGGAGGAGATGAGACGAAAACCTGCCCGGCCTCGGACCTCACAGAGCAGGATTTTACTGCACAAATGCCCACGGACACATTAAGTGGGTCAAAGGCTGAAGCAGGTTGAGTGAAGGCCACAAACCTTCACGTTTTCATCCAAATCGGCTTTTTCACAGATCAACTCTCCGTCCTGCGACACCCTCTGCCTGCCACTGAGCCACTACAGGCAGCAGCAGAGAGGAAGGGACAAACAAACCGGGATATGTCACCGACGATAAGCAGCGCGGCCGGACGAGACAGATGCTCGGGCAGGGGTTTCAGGGGCCGACAGTGGAACATGTCACATCTGATCTAGGTTCAGCTCTGCTGCCAAGCCAGACTGTCAGTAGGTTCGGGGAACGACGGAAGCCGAGTGACACAATCAGACAAAGTGTCTGCATCTACAAGGATGAGGCCAATCTGTCTTTACTGTATATTTATCCATGTACACATTTTTGCACATTTAAGGGTCTTTGATGTGTAAACAAGCTGCAACAACGATCATTTTTCACGCTGGGATTATGATTTGCAATGAGACATTTTGAGCCATCAAATGCACTGCGATCAATAGCAGACACAAAAGTGACAACAGCCTCTGACTCGTCGATGATTGCAACATCATGTTGAGTCACACTTTTTGAAGGGTCTCTTAATTAAGGGGAAAAGTGGAAACACAGCACGTCCTCACCTCAGAAACAGGAGCTTCAGCGCATGGCTAACATCACTCTGTCTTACTCTCTTCCTCCTTGTTGTTCTTTATTATTAGAATTTATAGAAATAAAAATAAACACTAATAGCATTTTTAAAAAACAAAATCATATATCAAGCTTCACCAAAAGCATCTTTCTTTGTTTTATTTATGTGAATTTCCTCAAATAATTGCACATAACTTATAATCTGTGGCATTTCTTCCATATTGGACACAAAGCAGGTGCTGTGGGGTTAGTGACCCTCCACTGGTGCTTATAACCCACTTAAGTCTATGTGGTTTCAAACGGGACCTGATGCTGGGGAGTGGATATAAGAGCCAGAGTGCCAGAGCCTCCCTCTGATTCAAATCCAACTCTTAGTGATTCCTGGTTGAAACATCTGTAAGAGTCCAAAGTTTCTGCAGTGTGAAGCCGTCACTCTCTTCACTCTCCGTGACACCTCCACTGCCACCTGCCTTTCAACTCTTCCCCCTACACACTGACTTGGCCATAAACGCTCCCAGATCAACCAACGTTAAAGTCTTTTCTGATTTAAAAAGAAAACGACAAGAAGAATAATGAGAATAATTTTGCAAAACAAACCCAGGTGCAGCCACAAAAGAGGCCGACTGTCTGGTGTGAAAAATCCCAAAATAGCTTTAATTAAACTTACAGAAAGGAGCTCACAAAACAGGAAACGCAGGATCAGCCCAAGCATCCAACACACGGTGCAACTACAATCAAATCAGGTGAGACGAGGCTCTGTATGAACCCACACAGGGCTGAGGAAGCACAGGTGGAAACAGTTAGGGTGGGAAAGACAATTATAAAGCCAGGAAATGAAACAGGAAGTCAATGAAGAGTTACACAAGAAATACTTTCAAAATAAAACAGGAAACCAGGGATTAACCAAAACTTTAAGTCTTAACTAAACCAGACACCACAATTGCCTCTTCATGGCAATAAAAGAAGAGCATCACTGGTTCTCTGGATGAACAATAAAACAGAGTGTAGTCGTATGAAAGCTAAAGAACTCTAAGCCTTTAAACACTGTGCCACCAGGAAGCCTCGTAGCACCAGGCAGGAAGGTTTTATATAAAACTGTGGCAGAATAAATAAACCCACAGACGATCAATAACTGTGCTGACGCTTGTGCAGGGATCAAGGAGGATTTTCTGATATATTTTAATGCATATGATTTGTTTTAGCAGGCAGGCGGGGGCCGAGCCTGCAGAAAACTCAGAGAATCTGGTTTGAAGAGTACAGTACACGCACATCCTGGTCAACAAAGATTCTGCTTCACGTATCTGTGAAGCAGAATCTGCAGGGCTCCACCACCAAGACCAACACCACAGGTATGGACACGCAACAATACACCAGAGGTTGCAGACGAGATTTGCACTCACAAGTTGCAACATTTATTTTCATTTTTCTGTCGGCTGGACACGAGCTCCTCCTCGCGTGGAGAGCACACTGAGCTTCTTTCTACCTGCAGCTCTGACATCTCTAAACTCTCATGGCTTCTATTTTTCTTCGTTTAGCTCCCAAATTTGCTCATAAATAACGCCAGCAGCACCAGCTGCATGTTCACGCCTGCTCTGACTGGCATCACCCCCCACCCCCTCATCCTACCCCTGATTTGTTGCATTTACTGTTCTGTGTTGTGGATAATCTGGTATCACTGTTCTCTCTTGTTGCCATGAGCCGAGTGAATCCAGATTTTCTCCCGAGGGACAGTGAAGTAGCCATCCATCTGTGCAGCCCTCCATCTACACTCTGAGATTCATTCTGTGGCGAACGAGGAGCTGCTGAAAAATGGCCAACAACAGGTTTTAATTCCTCCAAGTGTCATCTGTGCATGTACAAATAAGGACGAAGCCAAACCTAAAGAGCTGGCACACAAAGCAATCTGCCACACGAGCCATCTCCATCTCAGTGCTGAAACGAAGACTCACCTCATGTTACTGGTGTGTGTGTGTGTGTGTGCCTGTGTGTGTGTGAGAGAGTGTGTGTGTGTGCGTGTTTGATTGGTTTATAATAAAGTCTTGCTCAAAGATCCCTTTTCCCTAAAGTGGTCAGGCATAACGACAGATAATTTTAGGTCAGTGTTTGTT